CCAAAAGGATGGTGAGAGAGAATCATCCCCAAAAGGATGGTGAGAGAAATTCATACATTGTATTCTTACTATGCCAGGGTAAGGGGAACACACTTTCTGTACAAGTAAGTCATCTGCAGGTGTTAAGCTAGAAAGATACAGGCCGAGGAAAAGAAAAAAGTTTGTTTTTTCTAACGTGAACAATTTCTAACAGGGTCTTTTGCCTCCAATGACTAAATGGGTTAATATGTTTCAGTGGTGTTCTGATAAACATATCTGCTTTGAACCATGCTGTGACAGCTTTTTAAACATTCCCTTGAGTAGTAAGAGCTGTCAGCATATAACATCTCATTCAAAACAGCAGAACCTCTGACAGTGCAGTGCCCCTCAGAATTAGATTGGCTTATGTTATTAGGTGGTGAAAGACTGGATATGTTAATGATCCTCTGGTTTTTAAGCAACACAAAAAGTCTTACCAAATTATAGCAAAGTTGGTTTTATGTTTTAATTATGATGGGTTCAAGCTTTTTCCTCAAGCAATACTGCAGTTTGAGTTAGTAAAGCAGGCAGGCTCCTGAATTATGATTATTGTAATGACTGTGGGATTATTAATGCTCACTAATTTACAAAGCTCTGGAAGCAAAAACTAGAAGATCCTTCTAACTTGAGAAGATTAAGTAGGTGAAGATTTTGCATTGAGACTAACAGACAATGTTGTCCAGGCCATCTTGACCCCATCAAGAATTTCCAGATGAAATAGCCATCTGGAAATGATCAGTATTGTCATGGCACTGTCAAGACTCATTTAAGTCCCACTTTGGTGCAGTCCTCTACTGGCAGAAATGACACCTTTTTAAAATGGACTGATAGAGATAACAAGGTATAGAGGTGGACAAACACAGCAGGCCAAGTGGCATCAGAGGATCAAAGAGGCTGACCTTTCACAAGAAGGGTCTAGGCCCGTCTAGGCCCAAAACATCTGCTTTCCTGCTGCTTGGCCTGTGTTCATCCAGCTCTAAGCCTGGTTAGGTCAGATTCTCCAGTTCTACTAATCGGGAGACAGGGAGCTTGCTGCACAAGTCGTGTTGCCTACAGTGACTGTCAAGCAGTTTTGCTACCAGCATGCCTGAAGAGTACTCTAAAGTTGTCTTAGACAAAAACCCCACACCACAAACAGTTTAAACTACAGCATTAGCTAGGATGGTGCTAGGGACATTACCATGGCAGAGCTCAAGCCACAGGATCAGAAAGTAGCCAAAAACAAAGCTAGCCAAGCAAATTCTCCATCCTGAAATTAGGATGCAGGGGAGGCAAAAAAGTTAGAAGGACCAAGTTGTTAATATAATTGGAGGTTAAATTAAAAACCCACTTCTGTATGGACAAGCCAACATCTCAGCATGTCAGAATGTGAATTTTTAGAACAGTTTGTTCTAATGCAAGCTATTGCCAAAGTGCTGCGAAGTTGCAAATCCAGTCTGTGTTCATTATAAATATTAGGAACAGTTTAGACAAGTTCTTTGGAAGGAAGCAGTGTTTGTGACCAGCCTTAAAACTAGATGAAGACCTGCCATATTTCACTCCAAGTGAAAATGCAATCTTATGGGAAGAGTTCAGTGGCTTCCTATAACCTCTGAATAGAAAGAAAATCTCACCTTTCTGCTTCATGTCAGTGGAATGAGCCATTAAAAGCTCACCTTAGAACTGTAGCAGCCAGATCTGGATTTCATTTGATCAGCCAATTTAGTGCCCTGTTCTGTGTTGACAAGCTGTTCTAATGGGATGAATAGGGGACATGGGAGGTACAGGTGGCTTGAAGTAACTACTACACTAACTCCTGTGGGGGAGATTCAATTGGAACTAGGTAATGCCTTAATACCAGGCTTAAATTCCAAGGTAGAGTTTAAACCACTACTTGCACAATGAGTTCCAAAGACTGCCAAACAGATGTTCCTTACAAAAGGAGTGGGACTACTTCAGAAGTGGCAGTACTGGGGCAAACCAATAAGTAGAAGGCAGCTTTTGGTTATGACTGGGAAATGGCAGCTAGGTCATTAAGCTACAGCCCCTGGGAAGTCAGTTTTACTTCTAGTACATTCACTTCAAAACAGGCCAGTGCTAAGAGTTAAGATCACTGCTTAACTAGAAAGAGCTTGCTTTTTGCAAGAGTGAGTGTACTGCTAATTGGTGTTAAGGGATCAAAATTTGGAGTTCCCCATTTCAGAGGAAAATTGCTAGCTAGAGGGAGAGATTGGTTTAAAGTTTGTACATTCACAGGAACAGAAACCAGAAAACTGTCAACATTTTATTTGCATAGTTTAACTTCATTCAACAATACAAGTTATTTATAAACCTCATTTCTACAATTAGACTGGGAGAACAGTTTAAACAAGCAGGGCAGGAACAATTGTTAGATTACAGAAGTCTAGCATTGAGCCAGAGACTATAGATTCCTCCAAAGCAAGTCTTTGGAATGTCAAAGAGGCATTTGTTAACAGTTGATATTGTTATTGCCAAGAGACTTGCTTGGTAAGAATTAAGTTCTTCACACCAAAAGCCATCTCAAACCCCATTGTTTAATTAGATACTGCAGTAGCTCCCACTGAAAAGGCAATTCAACCAGTCATTGAGAATAAGGGGTTTATGACATGTAAATCTTGCACACTCAACAAATAGTGAATTCTGAATATCACAAGCTCAAGATATGGGCATTTGTTTGCAATTCCAACAGAGTACTAGTCCACAGATCAAGGCCAACACTAGTGATGTTATAGCTGCTGCAAGGAGAACGCCATCAGTTGTTTTTGCTGCAAGAGAGGTTAAGTATAATGAGACTATACTCAAAAACCAGTGGTCAGTTGTCTATGATCCTATGGCACTCACCCCAACACTAACTACCTTCACCCCCAAGATAGATAAACCAGCACACAGGCTTTTACTTCAATGATCCATGCCTCAAGCCCCCAGTTTAAGAATCTCTCCAATTCTGGAGAGTTTAAGACATCCAACATGGACCTCTAGTTCCTGTGATGTGGCCAAGTTTAGAAGCTTGAAATAATGCCATGCTTCATAGAAAAAATCCTTGGTGTGGAAACAAGCCCTTCAGTCATCTGGGCCTCTGAATAGCATCAGACTGAGACCCACTTAACCCTATCCCTGTAACCTCATTTCTTGTTAATAATGCACTGCCTGCACATCCTGGCTACTATGTGATTTAGTATGACTAATTCACTTAGCTGGCACATCTTGGAATGTTATGAAAGCCAGGTAGGAAGAGTGTACAAACTTTGTACAGACATCCAAACTAAGTCTGGGTTCCTGGTGCTGTGAGGCTGCAGTGCTAACTGCCAAGCCACTGTAGCTTAAACTAGTGGTGATGCTGTGTGACAAAGCTGGCACATGGTGTTATCTTATAGCCCACCGGTGGGAAATTCTGCCTGAAGTGGAGGCCATTTACTATGTAGTGTAAAGTCAGTGTTCAGAGCCTAGCATCAAACATTGTGGGAAAAACAGGAGGTCCAAGATGGTTTTGCTAGCCACAATGACTTGTGTATAGTCACTGTTTTCCCAATTTGGAAATCGATCAAATAGAGAGTGAACCCCTGGAGAGATAGTTGGAAATGAAGAAACCTAGTCCCAAAATGGGAGACTTTTGTCAAAGTTGTTTTATTTGGCTTGACCCCCAAAATCCACTCTCCCTCAGCATGTTATCCTGCTTAGAGCACTTCCAGCAATCTTGTTGTACACAGTATTTGTGTAATTGCAACAACTAGTGGACCAACTTTTGGCAGCCTATTAAGGCAGCACCTTCAGTTGTTTAACTTGAGAAATATCTATGTAGTTAAATCTAGTTAGTGCTCAGTCTACACTGCATGGAGTTGAAACAGGTCATCCACACCAAGAATTAGGCAAGTTCCTGATTGCCTGGAAGTCAGGCAGGACAAGCATTGCTAGTGCAAGAATGGAAAGGGCTTTAGCAGTGTACAAGGTGGCAGAAGTAATGCTAATAGCAAGCTATTATCCTACAACCCAGTTGTAGGAGTGTTGCCACTGGACATTTATAGCAATTGAATCATAATCTGTTCTTGCAGAACAGTACTTTTAAGCCTGCTAGCTAATCATTGTTACATTTGCTTGTGAATTAACATGCACTACATTTCATACCATTTGCTTGGGTTAGGTCTGCAGTTTTTCCTTCAGCAAGAGCAAAAACTATGGGTCTCTTCAGTGTCACTAATCCATGGTAGGCAGCTTTATCTGAAGTGTTAAAGTCAGAATGTCTGGCCATTCCTGGGGGGGGGAAAGGGAGAAGAGAGTTTGTGAAATGAAGCTAGTTGAAATAAAGTTTACATTTTAACAATCATTAGTGTTTCTTACTTCTGCCAGCTCCACAGGTTGTGGCACACTCTTGCATGTCAGGTAGGAGGCACACAGTTACACTACAATGGAAGTAGACCTATAAAAGAAAAATAGGTAAGCACCAGAAACCCAGAAAGAAAGACAATTTAACAAGATGCAAAACTAACCTCTCCACTTAGTACTGTTTGAATCTGCTGGTTCCAGAATGCAAATGTCTTCACTTCAAACCGTTTGTGATGTGTTGGAAATGACAGGTTGGAAGCTGCATCTACTGCATGTAGCTGGGTCAAGTAGTTGTCCCTGTAGTATGGACATCTACAAAGGAGATGCAAGTGTTTCATTAGAAGGTGAAAGCACAGGTTGTGCAAATTAGTATGTTTCTTAGGAGTGAAATGGAATACAAGTGTGACAATTATTGCATTGAGTGGGTAGGATGGAAATTTAGATAAATCAGGGTTTCATTTGTAATTCCTTGCACAAACCTGTCTACAAAGAGCACACAAGTAACAAGGTTTACAGCTGGATGAACACAGCAGGAAGGCTAATGTTTCAGGCCTAGACCCTTCAGAAATCTGAAGGGTCTAGGCCCAAAATGTCAGCCTTCCTGCTGTGTTCATCCAGCTGTAAACCTGGTTATTGCAGATTCTCCAGCATCTGCAGTTCCTACTATCTCCACAAAAAAGAAACATGCATTTGTCATCAAGTCTTTGCTCTGGTTAAGAGCCTAGGTTATAATCAACTGTTGAGTGATATTGCTAGCTTAAAACCCTTCTGATCCAAAGGGCCACTGGGTTTATGAGTGCTGGTGGTGATTTAACTGCATTCAAGCTCTATGGGAAAGAGCAGCTAAAATAGTTTATGGGTAACTGGAACACCAGAAAGGACAACTTTCAAAAGTTTACATTGAGAATCAAATTGATCATTAGAGGCCTTCAGAGTAGTGAAGTGACCAAATGAATGGTCAAAGGTTGAGTACTGAGCATCTAAAATAATACTTTTGCATCATGAACAGAAAGTCAAAAGGCTAGCATGAAAACTGTTGTCAGGACTTTCCATCCGAGGATGGACAGTATGCACTCATCTGCTAGTTCCATAAAAGCAAATACTTGCCCATGCAAGAGAACACTCCACTTTGGGACATGATGAGGGTCAAGTGTTTGTGTTGCCCAGCAATCATTCAGCACTAGTTCAATATTGGGATCAGTTCGGTGGAGAAGGCGTACTTCCACATATACTGGGTCCCTGAGAAATTTCACTAGAGGGTAGTCTTCATCAGCAAACCAAGTACTATAGGACTTTTCTGCAGAAAATAGATAAATAGTGAACAACAAATACAAAGCTTATGCAGTTCTCTAGATGCAAATAGACTTACCCTTTGCAATCCTCATTTCTATTTGGAGGACACCCTCCCTCAATACAGAAGGCAGAGGTGATGCAGTATTCACTACTAATGTCAAAGGGATTTCTCTCTTGCCAGAGAAGTGGCATTTCACATGCAACCTAGGAAAACAGTATTTAGTCCTTCATATTAAAGTGTCATACAAGGTATTCAAGTACTACAGTTGACCAGAAAGACACAGAACATGCTATTCACGAGGTGCATATAGGGATCTTAGATCAACAACAGCCTATAGATTGTTTTGAGTCAGCAGAGGAAAGATGCTTTAAAAGGAGCTGGCTGTTCCCATTTCACTGCCTTCAAGAGATTAATCTTAGAAGAACCAAAAGGATGTGGCAAAGTACAATATCTAGAAGGCACTGGAGAATTATACAGCCAATTGAGGACAGGAATGTTGTCATTTTTGGCACTAGGCTTAATGTGCCATGATTAAGTGAATTGTAACATGCAGGCACTGTTCAGTGCCTGGACTAGGAACTTCAGGGTCAGGTTGCTTACAGGAGTTGTCAAGATAATGGTCTAGGTTTGAAGTGATCATGTATGAGTCACAAGAAAAATGTTTCATAGATAGATAAACTGAAGCCAGCAAGAGAATCAGCTATATTGTGAAGTATTTATAACCCTAAGAAGTTGAAAAGAAAGCTGAGTTTTGATTCAGTAATTTGTTGCTGCTACACAAACATTTAGAGCTCACTTGAAAGTACTCTCCCTGGTTATAGAGCCACGAGGTCCACTTTGCATTTTCCTTTTGGCTACTATGTCTACACTGTAAGTGATGTTTAGTCCATCGCCCTAAGGAGAGAATAACAGTACATAAGGATATGATCAGTGGTTCCCCCAGTTATTTCCCCTCAAAAAGAACTTACTATTTGTGTAGTTCCACACGAATCAAGAGGAAACCTGAAGAGAACAAACTCAGTTGTCCTGGTTACAGGGAGACACTGAGGACTTGTCTTATTCAAGAGAGAGACAGAGTCAAGATTGAGTGGTGGCAGAGTAGCAACCCTAGGCACCACAATGGTAAATAGCCCATTGTGGGAACAGTCAATATAAGCTGGGGGGGAAAGGATATAGTAATTAGTAAAATGTCACCAGTTAAGTGCTATACAAATAGGTTTACTATTGCATTCATCTGAAGTTAAATTTTCTCACTACAATTCAAGTTCCAAGTATAGAACTGGCATTTTAAAAACAAACCAATCTTCTTTCTGTACAAAGATCAGCCTTCATTAAAGCTGACCAGACTCACTTTCCTTAAATTGGAATTGAGAGAACTAATGAGATAACTATGGTGTCTGTACATGAGACTAGAATTAGATTACAATCTTACTAATTGAGAATAAAGTCTGTAGATGGAACAAAAACCAACCAGTTTTTCCATAAAAGCATGGAATTTGCTTGTTGATGGGTTCATAACAGCAGCCTTTGGCATTGCATTCTTCAAGTGTGGCATTTCCACAGTTCACACGGTCCTTGGCATCAACACCACAAATATGGGTTTTGTCTGCAACAGGGACAAGTTCAGTAAACCACAAGCAGTTAAAAACCAAACTCTAGATACCTAGGGTTGTGTTCTGGTCTCTTACTTCAAATATCCTGGTCTAGAAGACCCATTGGTTAGTGATAGCAATTAAAAGCTTTGCTTTATAGTTAAAATAATGGAGATAACCAGATCAAGTTAGTCACATCTGGAGTTACTCCAACTTCTTCAGGAGTTGCAGACCTCCAGGTTAGGTGATATTTGAACCAGGATCTTCTGGTTTGCAAGTGCTACAAGACCCTACACAGTTCATGCAGTAGCTAGCAAGTTATGCTAAACATTACATAATCCATGTCTAAAAATTAGACAACTCCGATGAGTAAACTCAAGTTGAGTTTTCTAGTTGCACTTCTAGGAGAAGGTTATCAACCTAGGCTCATTGAATACTGGGCACAGGGATGGTGCCATGGTGCACATCAGGTAATTCAAGTACCTGCCTATCTGACAGGCTGGGTCACTAGACACCCAAATTCTGTCTTCAAAGTCTATCATGGTGATGCCATTGTTTTAATCTAGGCTAGCAAGTTAGTGCTGGCTTAATTTGCACATCATACCTCCATCTGGTTTCAGGTCCATGCTGATTGAGGTAGCTGTGGAACCAGCTGTTGTCTGTCCCACAAGTGCAATTGTGGCAGTAGCACTCACTGGCTCCTTGGTGGGAAGGGTCATTGCTGTGGTATCCACTGGCTCCTTGGTTACCAGAGCAGTTGCAGTGGTATTCACTGGTTCCTCGGTAGAAAGGGTCACTGCTGTGGTATTCACTGGCTCCTTGGTCAGTGGGGT